GAAAACAACTAAAATTTGAAAACAAAATATTACAGTGTTTTATTTTCTAAAAAGGTTGAAAGAGAAACTAATCACTAAACAAACATATCCAAAATTTTAAAAGTGAAAAACTGAAAACTGATTTCTCCTTTAATTTTTTTAAATAAAAAAGAAAAAAGGGTTTTCATATGCTAACCACAGCCTCAATTCTTTTCCAGTTTATGATTCTGTGAATCAGTAAATGCTTACATATGCATATTATTACAAGTCAAAGTCAAACATCTATATAAGTTACATCAGTAAATGTTTACATATGTTTATAATATGCATATTACATACGCATATTATAAGTTGTTTCTGAAACTTATCCCATGCCTTGCCAATCTATCCACTTCACTGGACTTCACAAATCAAAAAAGAACCAAATTTGCTCATCTTTCAATTTTTAAATGATGTCTGCATATGACACTACTTTGCAAACTATGGTCAAGGTCAACACAAGAACAAAATGCAACAAACTTACAGACCTCCTTTGCTGATGATTTCACATTGGCTCCTGATTCTCTTCCTTGAGCATATATAGTGATAAAAGAACTTTTCAGACACCAAAAACTTTTCAGCTATGAGGACATCAGTGCAGATGGGGCTTCATTTTCTCACCCTCTCAAGTCTTTTTCTAGAAATATCGGCCCAGACAGAAGCAGAAGCTCTGCTCAACTGGAAAAACAGCCTAAGGTCTTCCAGTCTACACAGTTGGAGGATCACAAATAGCAACAGCAGCCCTTGCAACTGGACTGGAATACAGTGCAACGAAGCTGGCAGCATTGTTGGGATAAATCTTCCAGAATCCGGACTGGATGGAACACTGGATAGGTTTGACTTCTCTGCCTTTCCTAGCCTTACTTCTCTTAATCTCAATATGAACAATCTGGTGGGAACTATACCTGCGGGGATTGGAAATGCAACAAAACTTACTCTCCTTGATCTGGGTAGCAACAATTTCACAAATCCTATCCCCATTGAAATAGGAAACCTCTTGGAACTTGAAGTGCTTTGTCTGTATAACAATTCCCTCACAGGTCGAGTTCCTTATCAGCTAAGCAACCTGCAAAAGGTGTGGTTTCTCAGAATTGGTGCAAACTTTTTAGAGGATCCAGACCAACCTCAATTTAAGGGCATGGCATCTTTGACGGACCTTTGGCTTGATTATAATCTTCTAAAGGAGGTTCCTCCATTTATCGCTAAATGCCCAAAGTTGATATTTCTTGATTTTTCCGACAATCTAATCAAAGGTCAAATTCCAATGGAGCTACTCGCTCCTCTAGAAAATCTTGAATTCCTTAACCTGACCAAAAATTCATTTGAAGGACCATTTCCCACAGAAATTAAGAGCCTCACAAAACTTCGAGACCTGAGACTGGGGATAAACAAGCTGAATGGCACCATACCAGATGAAATCAGTCTCCTTTCTAAACTTGAAATTCTTG